AAAAGTATGTTTGACGGAAATAGGATGATTATTTCTGAGGGCTTTCTCATTCCGTCGGAACTGTTTGACCATTTTCGAGGGGCTTCTTATTCCGTAGGAATTGCTTGAATATTTCCGAGGGGTTCTCCTTTTGTCTAAATTGTTTGACTACTTTCGAGGAGAAATATGTCTTCTTGGAAAAACGTTTGAATGTCAATTTCCCATTAGAATAAGTTTAAAAAAAATTGATTGATAATGTTGTTAGCTAGGGAAGAAAACAGATTTTTTGAAAGCAAATTTGGTTATCATGTAGACCCAACAAACACTATGCCAATATATATGGTAGTTGGTGGGGGCTGTTCTCCATGTGGGGTTGGTACAGTTTCATTCGCAAGTCTCTACACCAAACAAAACAAAGGCATTATCTGCATATGAAATGAAACCCAAATTAAAAATAAAAATGATATGAAAATTATAATTTGATGCACAAACCAAAGCTCTCTGTAGTGAAATGTGCATGATATGCAGTTCTTATTTGAACCTATCAACTTTTTGGCCCCTCCCCCACAAAAAAGAATAGCCTAGCTAGTTGTCAATTTCCCATTAGAATAAATAATAAAAAAATTGATTGATAATAACCAATCACACTCCAAAATAAATAACTAAAAATAGCCAATTCAAAAAAAATAAGCAATCACAATTACATGACAACTCATCCCATAGTTGTAAGTTGAACACATCCATTCTTCAATCAATTTCATTGTCTTCAACATCATTTTGGATGACATGCATGCTTTGAATTTGAGTCTCTGCTTCTTAGTATGGCTCAATCTCATCATTAGTCGTCTCATAAGCATTTCTTGGATTTGTTTCCGCGACAAAACACCAAATTTTATTTTTAACCCCCTTCACTTAAAAAACTTGGGTTGCTTGGCTTACTAGTACGAATGACTCTTGAGTATTTAGCTTGCGTGTTGTATTAACAGTGATTATTCCATAACGATCTATCTTGTAACCTATTCCTTTTCGTGCCATGTCATACCAATCACAATTGAACAATACAACTCTATTTCCTTTTGTGTAACAAAGCTCAACAATATCTACTAAGGTTCCATACCAAGGCACATCGTCAATCTGATTCTCCCCCTTAACCATAACTCCACTTTTTGTGGTTTTTTATTCTCATCACGCTGCAATGTATGAAATCTAAAACCACTAATATAATAACCAGGATAATAAGTTACTTGCCTTTCAGGACCTCGAGCCAAAGAAAGCATTTGCTTACTAACTTTACCATCGTTGTATAGTTATGTGACCTGCATAGAAAGGAAAAAATATTTTTAAATAAACATATATGACAGTCAATAATTTTTCGAATACAATATTATTCATACCCTTTTAGAAATCCAGTTTGAAAATTGAAGCCTATGTGACTCCTCCACATTATCAACACTAGACTGGATTAGAATGTTCTTATGTTCTCTGCATACATAACAAATGATTATATTCAAATTAATATAGTGACATATTACATCTAAATCCAGGAGAAGAAATTGAAAACATGGACTCCTTGGATATAGCAAATGCAGATCTGTTGACAATCAAATAAGTAATTACGACCACATATACGGTTGGAAATAAATATGTAGGGTCGTTTTAAAAATCTATTTTCGATAGAAATTTAAGCAATAGCTACGAAGCATGGGTGTCGGAAATACATTATTTCAACGGAATGGTCGGAAATGAAGTATTTGCAACCGGGCTTTTAGCAACGACTGCCGACGGGCTTTTAGCGACGACTGCCGACGGACTTTTGCCGTCGAAAAAAGATATTTGCGATGGCAAAAGGCCTTTTGCAACGACAAAATGCCCTCTAAAAGGGCTTCTGTTTTGTAGTGAGAAAGCTTAGTAAGCAAACAAAAACCTTTCTAAATGCTTTTGCAAAGTTTGTTATATATATATATATATATATATATATAGAGTTTTTCTCTAATGCGGACGTCCGCATTTTGTTAAACTACGGGTGTCCCCTTTGCCACTTGTTTTTTTTTCCCGAAGG